TTGACATGTATATAAACATGACAAACTAATTGTAACTAGTTCATTGCATTAAATTATGTTATTACGTAATTGGTTTAAAAGTTTTTTTCCCAATAAGTTATTTTATTAAGCAATTTTTATAATTTGCCAATGTATTTAAAATTTATTATGTAAGTTAATTAGAAGAGCTTCATAAAAATAAATAAGATCATATTGATTAAAAATATGAAGAATCTTAATAGGCAAATATAGTATTAAAAATTTGACACTAATTTAATTAAAATCTTCGTTAATTTAATTACGTCATTTTTTGAGTGTATAGAGATTAAAATATAGGGCTTAAATAAATACCAAAGTTATAAAATATTAGATGCTTACCTCTTGTGAGCTCTTTCAACACTCAAATATGCAAAATATGACATAATTCACTGAAGTCAGTCCCTTTCATATACAGCACTCTTCAAACCAGTTTAAACACGACAATGCAAGTTAAAACATTATCGCTGCAGCAGGCTCGTAATCGCTTTTCTTGGAAACTTCATTGCAGGTACTTAAACAAAAAGCGCTCTGATATCCAAAGTCGCCTGTTCGGGTTTAATCCATGTATTGAACCAGTGTTCCAGATTTGAATATAAATATATAAACACATATGTACAACACACAAATATACGTAGAAGCACACACAATACAGGCACACGTCTTCTCTATCACAAAGCTGTGAAACCACACGCACACTCGTCACACTACTTCTATCAACTGCCTGTAAGCATTGTATCATCTTACAACAATGCGCGCAGAGGCGACTGCAGGAATGAACTCTCATTGCAGGTACGTACACAAAAAACGCTCTGATATCCAAAGTCGCCGAATTTTTTATTTCATTGATTTTCCTAAAACTTATATTACTGTCAGATACAAAAATCAGATTGGACAAATTTGGACATTTTTACTTACACTTATTTTAATTTTTTCTACATAGTAAGTTTATCTACAATCTATGATATTTCCCATATAAATAATTATATTTTAGCTCATTTGTGGCACAATGCAGCGGCGGGCCGGATGAACTGACCTCGTGGGTCATAGTTTGGTGACCCCTGGTATAGAGCAAATAGTGGAATTAACGAACACTGCAAAACAGTCTTGCATCATCTTCATTTAAGGATAGACTTGATATTCTGACTTAGAATGATCAAAAGCAAACCAAACACCTTCTGTGACAGTTTTTGAAAAAGCTTTACCATAACTAAGTTTTCCACAATACAACTTATCTACTAGAATTTAGTTCCCTAAAATTACATGTTAATTATTGGGTTTTCTTTACAATCACTGTGTACACGATAACAACTGACATTACAACTTTGTCTATTTGTGAATCTTATGCTGCTCATACAACAAACAAACACTATTTACAGTATATAGACTATACAAGACTGCAAAACATTTAAATTTTCAAAACCACTTCAGAGGAACTCTCGTGTAAGTATTACCTGATGCTACTATGTGATACACTAATAATTTAAATATCTTTAAAGATTCCACGCATTGAAAAAAAAAAATCACACAAATTACTTGGTGTCACCTGGTTACATGTTATGCACTTCTGATGAAATAGTCCTTGGTCATGTCCAACATCAAAAATGTTTAAAATATGATGCTTAAAAAGAAATTTCCTTGTTAATTGTTTTTAGTTAATGACTGTTCTGATTATACAATTAATTCATATAACTCAAAGATACTGAACTGAATACACCTTAAGTTGAACATTATTATTTTACTAAAACTCCGTTACACTTTAGAACATCTTTAATGAAACAAGTTGTCTGTAAAGCAACTTGAAATGTATGTTTGAAGGTAATTTATGACTATGATTAAATACCTATCACCTATTTTACTCAAATCTATAGTTATAAGAGTGCTACATAATTTGAATTTGTGTATTATTCTACGGAAGGTAAAAATAGGAGTATTATTATCTTACTGAAATACAGAACGAACATTAATCATCATGAACAGCACGTTCTAATGTCCAGTTTTGTGAGTATATGCATATAACAGTCTATTTCATTTTTTTAAATTGCACTGCAGTCTGGAATGAATAAAAATGTCAATGAGAAATAGAACATTCAATGAAGCTAATACACTGTTTCTTTACACAAATAAAATCCAGGGAATACAAGCTTACTTAAGTAGACTGCTAAGCTAGCCAGAATTATGGCTAAAGCATCACTTCCAAGACCCAATAAAGGCACACTCAGTTTACTTCCTACTTCATCCTCAGCACAGGTACAATTTTCACATGACCATCCACTTGGACATTCACAGTAGTAACCCTTCCCAAAAGGCCTGTTGTAACAGTGTCCACCATAGCCACATGGTTTTGTGAGACATTCATTCTCATCCAGGCACTGTAGCCTGTCTTCAGACACCTCAAAACCCATAGGACATCTGAGGTAAATAATGACACTAAATTGTATAAAATGTAAAAAAAAAAAGAAAAAAAGTGGACCAAGAAAGAGTTAAGTGTTCCTCATTTGAAATTTACTAGATTACAGCATTTCAAAATGATGCAGAATTAAAATGTGCAATTTGGTTTCTATTCTATACGTTTTACATACACAAAACACACACAGTCTCTGCTGATAAAGCACAAGGAAAATGCTCCCAAGGTGATAAATGCAAGATAGGAAAAAATTAGCAAGCAAGAAAACTATAACTGCATGTCTATAATGCTGCGAGATTTACTCTGAACCTTAATGCATCCCTATACATGAACATTCTTATATGATAAAAATAATAATGCACTAAGATTTGTTTTTCATAATATAAATACTTAATATTGCTCAAGGTGAGTTAATATGTTATACAAAAATTACCAAGTAACTCGTCACTTAAAACTGCTCATGGTCTAACTTAGCATTTTGTAACCAGGTTTTAAACAATCTCTTCTTAACTTTAATACTTGGGTGGAAGTAATAAACACTAAAGAATTTAATGCAGATACGTTTCAAAATTTTATATGTTCAAAGAAAATTATGTTTCCTAAAAGCTAGGGCTAATTTTAGAACTAAGAAATTTTCATGTAAGTGAGAAATACGAAAATTAATTTTATGTGTGTGTATATTTTTCATAATGGACAATTTCTAGCTATATTAGTTGTGGAAACTAAAGAAAAACACCCACTTATGGTCAATTACTGTTTGCTTTATCTCTAAACCCCAATAGTCATTATTGGTATATTTGAAATATGAAATTTTCTTTCTATCTAGCTATTACTGGATGAATTCTAATTTTTTCCTGTATCTTCTGAAGCTTTATAGATAGCCATTTATACATGTTTACTACTATTTATCACCAAAATTTCCAAGTGCTACACACACACACACACACACACACACACATTCATACAAATTTTTTTGCTTTATAATGTTCCCGAGTAGTTATCAAACGCAAGCACTATTTTCAGTGCCTACTTTGAAATGTTGAAGACATAGAAACTTTGCTACACAAGATTGGGCATGCAATTAAGATTTGTGAGAAACACATTTTTGGGTCACACAAAGCTCTTTCCTGTTCCAACCTTTTGTTTATAACGATATACTTACTCAAGATGTTAAGGAGACAGACCAAAATGGCTGCAAGAGCTGCCATGCTTAACTTCATCACTTTTGCCTGGACCATTGACTGGCAATCACTACCACTAAAGCTGTCAGTACACAGACAATAATGCCCTTTACCGTCTGGCCTGTCCACACATGTGCCACCATTATAACAAGGATCACTCAAGCAAGCATTAGCATCAGTGCAGTTTTTACCATCCTCTGTCACTACAAAACCATCACGACACCTGTAGCAAAAGATCCCAAGCTCGATTGTTAGTTTGCTGCTATACAACCCATCACCAAGCAGGTTACTACAAATCTTTGTTACTGGTAGAAGGAACTCAATCCAAGTATTAACTGCTTTTAAATTTCTCAAAGAAAACTATTAAAAGTTTAATTAAAGGTTTATTTGTTAGAGTAAGGACCATAAAAGTATCATTTGAATTAAAGTTCATGAAAGTAAGCAACTTGTTTATCTGTTTAAAAATTCATTACGTCAGTTACTGATTTTAATACTGTTAGTTAGTCATTAGTTTTTCAGTTTCATATGAAAATCAGTGATGTTATTTTGAATCCTCCAATAATATGATTTACATAGACTGAATTCCTCCTACCACAGGTAGCTGTTGTTAGTATAATATCTTTATAAAACATCTTCTACAAATTAAGAAAGCCTTCAGAAGTGTTAAAGGGCATGGAATTAATTTTAGCTTTAATCAAGCATGCATTACCCAGTGAAAAACTATTCTAAAGGAACTGATGCAAAAAAGTGCAACCAAACTGTGTTTGTTCTACCATTAACAACCATAACATAATACATTACTTTTAAGCTTGAGATTTTGAGTAAGTAAATCAGACCAAAGCCACAAGAAAAAAAAGAGCAGTATACAACTCAGATGTATTTAAAGTTCAGTTACTATGTGCTATTACTCTGTTCATATACGTTTCGTATCATAAACATTTAACAAAACCAAATGCAAATCATTGTTCCTTAACAGTAAAAAAAGCATTTATACTAAAACTTTACTTTCTGAACCTGTCTCTTTACTTTATTTAGTAATACAAACTGTTAAAAAAAGGAAAAAAAACAATCAATTGCATGCTGAGGGTTACAGAAATGTTAGTAGTTGGTATTAACTGGCCTTTTCCTCTCTTCAGTAAACAGCTAAATCAGCAAATCAAATATATTACAATCGGAACATACATTCATTTTTCCAAGTAAAACATATATCAACATAACTCAGAAAAAACAACTTTAACAAAATATCTTAAATATTTTGGTTGACATATACAAGTTTTTTTTTTAAAAACAAAACAGTAAATGGACTTCATCAAATATAAGCTAAAAACTTTAGCTTTATACTGAGGGTTAATTGTATTTTATAAGAACAATGTTACAGGTACCATGCTGCCTTTGTAACAGCTTTATCAATGGTCATGACTACATACTACAGCCTGACAACAATCTCCACTGCATAAAGTTTCTATCTAGAATAAATAGCAAACTACAGATGTTGGATATCAAGATCATGTTTATGCAGACTAAAAATATAAATGCTATAAGTTCAGCTTCTTGAAATATTTAAGTAAACAGCCATTGATTTGCAGATGAAACTGGAAGCTTATTGCTTATTAACAGTATGATGAGACTTGCCCAGCATCACTATTTTGTGGATGAGTGAATTACTCCTGATCGACCTTGAATCCTTTTTTTTGTCCTAAATGCTTCCTTCTGCGAAATGCTATTCTGTTTAGTTCTCTAGTCTAATTATTTTGGTATATGAATATCCTTTCCCAGAAAAGGTTGCTAGATACTCTTAGCTGTAAGTTTACTTGGGCCAGAATTTCACTGGGAAATTGTTGCAAATTTGCCATGAAACAATATAAAAGAGCATTGTATTAACAAATGTCAGTCATTCTTACCAAATAAATCAACCCTCTTTGTATATTTCATATAGTAATGGATGAGAAATAATGTTAATTTAAGTAGTCACGAAAACCTTTATGGCCATGAAGAACCTTATCTTAAAAAATACCTGCACTCATGTAGAAGCCAGAGATCTTTACAAACAAATGGTGGAGGGCAGATTATGTTTTTGCACGGACTGTTAGAAGGACAACCATCAATAAGATTGTTCCATTAACCTAATATTCCAGAAATTATTTTTAACAAATGTTTTGGGTTCTGTAATTTCAATAAAAATGTTTAGCAAATAGTGGGACCTTTATTGTGTGAATGAAACCATTCAAAACATTTTATTGCATTTGTGAAACTAAGTTTCTGTCACATCTTACAATAACAAGTTATGAATGTCTTTGGGGAGGGGGATCTATCAACTTATGAACAAAAATTTACAAAAAAGAAATTCACTAAATACAGCATATTATCAGATATTAAAGAAATCTATTCTGTAATCTTGTTCTTATGCCATGCTAGTAAAACACGATTTACAAATGAGAAGATACAGTAATTAAATTTTTGATATTCACTTTTATACAGGCTGCATGAATGATATTAGGCTCGATCAGCGCTATCTACCTATGGAGAATGGATCTGAAAATGCAGCAGTTGTGGGCTTCATACCTTCATGGAAATCATTATCTACCACCGTAACTCCTGGTCCTACGTACTGAACATCACCTCCAGCAATAACATTTTGTTTTTCCATTTCCATCAATTGATGCAAGCCCTTATAGTCAATTATCTCATTGTAACGCCGTCCTCCACCTCCATCCAATGAGATACTGGCTGTGCTTCCATACCTAAGAACTTGAACAGTGTGCCACTGACCATCACTGACAGTCACATGAGGTAGCCACAGCTCTCGTTCATCTGTGGAACTGTGTTGATTGAGGTTAAAACGAAAGTGGAGTTTCTTATCCCGAACCTGTAAAACAGCAAATAAACTTTAATACTGCAAGATAATGCAAATTGGAATTTCTTTATATTTTTTCTCAAACATGGTAAAGTTCCAGTTATGTACATTTTGTTATTCACATTTTATCCAGAGTAGAATATATATATACTGAGTAATTTAAATAACTTTAATTTCAAGACTATCTTGAAACATAAATTTTCTAGTGGAACATCAGAAACTGCATTTTAAGCTTTACTAAAGTGATCTTAATTTAAAGTTTATCTAGACATTCAGCTTTAAAAAAATTTTCTAGGCACGTGACTTGCTTGAATTTTGAGTAAATTTTAATATAAATAATGTCCTGTTTTATCCATAAAAACACAAAGTGCTGATGACTTCTTTCCTTACAAAACTGCTTCACATTTTAAACTATATTAAATTTTATATGCCAAATATATTAAAAACAAAACAAACAAACAAAAAAATGCAAGCTTTTCTAGATTTACCAATAATTGTTTAAGGATATACATAAGACTGCTTTAGAGATATTGTGGTGGACATTTAAAATGTTATAAAAACTTTGGGAACAAAAAAAACCTTGCAAATGAAAAATATACCTCTAGAATACAATATTCTCGACCATGTTTACTCGTGGCCCGGAAAAGCTCTCCATGTTTCTGTCGAGTACGGAACATGAGCTGGATGTCAGTCTTATACTTGTCTGGTTCGAAGGACAAAGCATACTTTATATAGCTGCTCTGTTGAAACATCTTGGCTTGAGTGGCTGTAAAAATAATTTTTCTTAATAAGTTGCAAGTATTTTAATAATTATCTTAACCTAACTACAATTAAAATTTATATTAACTCACTTTATAACAAAGAAATTTCAGAGCCTTTACCCAATTAATTTTTGTTACAAACAAGTTAACTATACACACTAAATCCAATCAAATTATCCTTTTATCTATATATGAATTTCTTTTACTTTTGAAATTATACCTAAGCTTACATATCAAAAATGTTTTTGAAAAAAAATCATTAAAAATACTCACATACCTGTACAGTTAAACTGTTGATAATAGATGGTATTCAAAGGTATATAACAGAGAATAGTATTTTATAATTTTTTAAATATGTACCTCGATTACAGTGAGCCCCATGCCAACCAGGATCACAGATACACCGAGATGAACGATAGGTGCCTTCACATTTACCATGATCACATGGTAAATTAATACTGTTAGCATTACAACTATCATCTGCAGGTGGACAACCTGGTTGGCTACCATCAGAACTGCCTGGACTTCCAAGGTCATACATCTGCAAAATAAAATATTTGTTTTAAAAGTTTTTAAAAATATCTAGCTTCACATTTTCATAAGAAAATACTCGAGGCCCTCAGTACACATAAAGTTTACAAAATAACTTCACAAGTCTAACAGCTAAACACAAAAATATTTAACTATTTGACTACTACAATACAAGTATTGTTGTTACATACAGTCAGTATGCATAATTTCAGCTGAACCACCATGTAGTTAAATTTGATAACTTCAGCAAAACCAAAACCTTTACACATAGTATAGAATGCAGCAGAATTATAAGATTTAAACCTACAACATCCTACGTCAAATTTTATTCAAGTAATTGTAAAATGGAAAGTTTTTAATGTTTTCCCAAATATGTTTGCTAAATATTTTTCTTCAGACTCTTTGTTTCAGGTAATGACTATTCAACACACTACAAAAAAAAGTTCCTACTTATCCCAACTAAAGATGCATTTTGTGAATAAAGTTTACGGAAAAAAATAAAATCATTCTTTGGAATTAAGAATTGTTTTTATTACTTCTTGTAAGTAGTGTTTAAGAAAGTTCCTTGACTCAAAGTCCGTTTTCTTTTCTACCACAGATTCTGCCAGAATAAACTATAATTTTGTTTAACAATTTCTACTGATACAAACATTTCATTAATTATAAAATAGATTAAGGAAATCTTAATATACACTCCACAAAATAAAGGATAAATGGTAGATGTAATATTATTGCTATGAAAATGCAAAACCATTGTTAGAAAACAATGTTGGTCGATACTCTCTCAATTAATCATTATGCAAATCAGGCATTTAGTGATCTGCCTTGTGGCATAAAATGCATCTACCTGTGCTATGTATCATGGCCTCATACCACTTTGTCTAGGTTGTCAATTTAAAGATAATCTCAGAGATTGTGTACCAAATCATTCAGAAATCATGACCAGATATCAAGGAAAATGTATGGATGTTTCACTCATGTGAAAAGCCACTAGATATTCATAGAAGCTCACCAATCATAGTAGACTCTTGGGAATTAGCAACAAGATTCTCAAAATGTCATTAACATAATGTGCATCTACATTTAAACCAATGGCAGAGTTCCTCAAACATTTGGATGAGACATACATGCACTATTTAAATTGTTTATACCAAGTTTCATAAAATTTAGTTCAGTATTTTGACTATAAGAATATAAAAAATGATGGGTGCTTTTAGCATGTATATAGTCCAGAAAGTGTTGGCAGATGACAATAACCACTTTCAGTGTACTAGGCTTGCTGAAATATTTCTTTAAAAATGAAAGACAGTTCTTTGTTATTAAGCACAAAGCTACACAAAAGGCTATCTGTGCTCTGCCCATCACGGGTATCGAAACCCGGTTTCTAGCAGTACAAGTCCGCAGAATGAAAGACAGAGTAAATAAAGAGATTTCCATGTTCACCCAATTTCAATTCCATTGAGCATGTGTGAGACATGACATCCCATGAAGTGACTCCAAACAATAAATATGTTCTGAAAACAGTTTTTCAAGAGTTTCTGAGAATACTGGTGCCAGGCTGACTAATGCTACTTTTGGTGACCATACTCTACACTGAAGTGAAATGTCATGAACCAAATGCCACCAAGTGTTCTTTTACAAGTGCTTCAAATCATGGAATCAATCATCAAATTCCTCACTTGCATAAACATAAGGGAGACTACTGAAACTAGTTTTCTAACAGTGATTTTATGTTGTTAAGTTAAAATATTATAAAGTCCAATTATTATTTAATGTTTTATGCAAGGGGCTACTTTATCAAGTTAGTTGCCCTTTATAAACTACATCTTTTTGAGTTTTTAAATGAGGAAATTTTATACAAGTATTTATAATACTGTGAATTAATAAATTATCAAAAAAGATTGGCCCAATATATTACACTTTAATTCTTTAACTTAACCAGTTTTCCTATTAATTTTTGTACTGATACTTTTGTTCTTCCATAAGAACAGAAAGCTTACAATACAAAGTACAACGCATTAAGAAAATAACTTAATTACCTCACTATTATGAAATACATTTCTTATGCAGCCTTCAAAACCTTCTCTAGTGTGTTGATATTGCCAGGTGAAGTTCAAAATTTTATGGTGGACTCCACCAATTTGAAGTGGGGAATTCACATTCAAGAATTCATTGAAAGGAGGAATGGTTCCATGGCCTTCACAGCCTGAACTGTCAAACTTGGGTGTTTCAGAATCAGTGATCTCAGCACGGATACAATCATCTACTCTGATTCGAATGTTCTGGAATTAAAAAACAAAACATACAATCAATGAAAATTCTGACACATTTAAGTTCTGAACTTTCTAAAACTTCCTGTATCTTGTCTTCAACCTTTCATTTACTAATCTATGTTGGTATAAGTATGTTTGGAGACAGTTTTTTTATGTTGTATAAAATGTAAGTATAGTGCATGTGTGTGTATGACTATGTAATTCGTTTTCTAAAGGACACGTTGAAACATGTAACTGTAAACCCTGCAAGATAAACAAATGTAACCTGCACTCAGTATGATAGTTTTAGATCTTATTTAACATCTCCATAAATATTTTTCCTTTGTAAACACTAGGTGAAAATGTAATGCATAAAATTTAAAGATTTAAAATATGTTTGTTCACCACTACACAGTGTAACATAACTTCTATTTCTTACTAGGCTTGCAATTACTAAGTTCTCAAGATAACCATCTCTTTTTTATAAAGACTAGGAATGACCTTCAAAACATCAAATATCACTGAATCTAAAATTAGAAGTGACTATTCACCAACTAACACATATTATAGTGACAAAAACTTAGGTCATTAACTTATTGACAACTGAGACTACATACTAACAAACAGTCATCAGGAAAAATGTATAGAACTATTTCTATACACTTATTTGTGTGTGTGTATCTATCTGTCTGTCTGTATATCTATCATAAGACTTTTCATAAATTGTTTTATCTCTGAGAGAAGACAAAGTGAAACTAAACATATAGCTACACAAACTAATTGTGATTGTCCATGCAGAGATACCAGATATATAGGGTTGAGTACATTATATTAAAACAATTTTGAATAGGCAAATCAGCAAGCCACATGAATACCAAAGCCAATTATAAAGTCAAAGTGGAATGGCAAGTACAAAACAATTTTTTACATTGTTTAGAGTCACTAAGGTGTGTGCCACCAGATACTGGTAGTTTCAGGGCTATTATCGTAATGTATAAATATCTCATAGAGCATGATGAGATGCAATAATATAGACTGTAACGATTTGGTGAAATAACCTGTTACAGATTTAATGTGGATAATGAATATAACAAATGTATAATTAAATCTACTTTAAGATTCATATCTTTATATTATTTGTTTCATCAATGGGCAACACCAATCAAGAGCCTATTAGAATCTACTGGGTGGTTATAATGAAAACCTCATGTTCAAAATGACCATATCTTAAAAATTACTTGTTATAACAAAAACATTTCACCACATTCACAATGAGAAAAATAAACCTTATTTGGATACAATATAATGTGCTTCAAACCATATGATACTGAATAACTATATTATTTATAAGATCTTCTGAGTGAAAGTAGAGAAGACCATATAACAATGTATTCACCACACCATATCGGCTATATTCAGTGCTGCTGAGGCCTTTTATCCAATGTTAGTGTTCTTCAGGCTAGCTAGGATATAACAGACATAGTAGTAATCGAGACAACAACAACAGCTGTTTTCTTGTGAAGTGGAACAAGATGATGAAGTGTTATTTGTATCAATTATATTTCATTACACATCAGAATTAGGGAAAAGTTTTCAAATTGAGCATGATCATTACTTTGTTTGACTTAACCTACTCCTACTCATCATTCTGAAGAACTGGCAATCCCAGAACATGCCTAGTGACCAGAATGTCAACAGACAATACAATATTAATTATAAGAACCTCTACGTGAAAGTAAAGAAGAGTATAAAATAATGTATCAACCATACCATATTTGCCATATACAGGGCTGATGCTCAATAACAGAGCTCTCAGGCTGGCTGGATAAACAACAGATACAGTAGTGGTTGAAGTTGCAATTTATATTAGCAAACTACTTAAACAACAACTCAGTGTGAACTGTATTGCTTTTATTTCTCTTCTCTCTCTATTTTCTGACATTATGAGGTTAGTGATTTAAATGAAATGTATTTCAGTGTGTGAGATATTGAAAAAATCAATTTTTCACTATCCAGAACAAAGATGCTGACAGTGGTTGAGTTTCATTTATGGATAGGCTTAATACATTCACTTAGAATAATAGAAAGCACATTGGACCCCTTCTGTGGCAGTCTTTGAGACACCCAAACTCTCCTTTATAAAACCTGTATGTATCTCAACGTTCTTTTGGTAAAGTTTTGTTTTCTTAGAACAAGTGGTTTGTAATACTGAAATATGTGCACATCAATTTCTAGGCAACAAAAAATATACAAGAGCAAATAAGTAGCTATTTGTTATAATTGTTACACAAGCAATTTTTTCAAGTGTTTTACATATGACTAATGAAATAAAATGCTTTTTTTTTTTTTACTTTCAAGAAGAACTAAAACTCAAATCATCTTACTCACTTCTCTATCCCAGAAGATGTTTAACTTATGCCATTCTCCATCATTCAGGGTTTTTTTGGTGTTCACTCTAACCTCTGCTGTCCCTGATCCAAAATCCACCAAGAGCCTAGGCCTTCCATCTTGAAGTTCTACGGACAAGAAATCTTGTATTCCAACCTCTCGAGGTTCTGGGTTAGTGATAGGTCCATTATACAGCAGTAGACCATTGGGTTTCAGGGTCATGAACTCTAAACTGAGATGAGAATTCTCACACTGTTGCAAGGCTGGAAACCATGCCCACCCTCTACCATTGAACGAACGGGTTGTGATCTGACACTGAGGTCCATCGAATTGTCCAGTACAATTACATCTGAACAAGGATAATGTATGGTTGTCATTAGAAAGTAATTGCTTTAAATAGAATATTAGCAACAAAAACATTGTTTTATCCAGTTCTTAAAATATTTTAATTGAAAGACTCAAAATATATTTTGAGATACTGATCAACAATTTTTAGGTAATCATTTCATTTGTATCATACACATTCCTATTCAAAATTCTTAAGACATCTGTATTTATACATTACTATATTACTTAACTTACTTGACTCCATTTGAACCATCACTACATCTACCATTGTTAAAACAAGGAAGTGGTCTCTGTTTACACGACTCTTCTTCAGAGAAATCTCTTGCACCACATACACACATTGGTTTAATCCAGCTGTTTACACCAACAAAGGAAGTCCTATTGGCATTTACAACAATTGGCTGACGCTCCACTATTAGCTTATTGGTACAGCTGTCCTCACAGTTTAGATTTTCAATCAAACACTCATCGATTCCAACCATGGTGATGTTGATACCAACTTTCTTCTCAATCTGAGGCAATAAATATCATGTCATGAAAAATACAATAATAATCATATACATTATATTTTTGATTCCATATAAATAATCATATTGTTACAAAATAATCCTCTTTACCTATTTAAGCTAGAAATTTCAATATAGAAAGTATGACAACTAACACCAGTAAAGGAACTTAATGATGTGAAATGTGCAGTTAGTATTTGATTTTTTAGACACGACTTTCAATTAGTTTTATATTTTCTGCCATCTGGAGAAACTTTTCATACGACTTAAATAAATGTCTAAAAACAAAGTATAAAACAAAAGTTGAATCTTTGGTACCAAAACCCACTCTTTATAACATTTTCTCATCATGACTTTTATTCTCTTCACTGGAACAACTTGTTGATATGCTGGTCAAATGAATTAAAAAGTATTTATGCATAGTCAGTCCCTCTGGACAAAACTATTAAAAATTTGGGCAGCTTTGAGAGAAATCTAACACAATCTATGTTCAAGGGGTATGTCATTTAAACAATTTCAGGTTATGTTCATACAACATACATTACAGAACAATCATTTCCCATCTATTTAACATGTACAAATTTTCATTTTTAAAAAGGTGTCACTTTGAGTAGCAATCACATACTGCCTTTTGATATTTACATTATCATGTGTAAAACAATACATATTCAGACCTGCAAGTCAAATGCCAATAACATTGTAAAGGACAACTAGGAGTAGAACAAATGTGCTAGCAGATTATAGAATATGCCTTATGATATGCAAGCTTCTTGTTCAATGGACCAGCTTCTTCTGGTTAATTGGTGGAAGTAAGAGTTCATGGGAATCACAAAAATATAGAACCTAATCAAATTATTTATAATCTGTCAAATATATACAGATAAGTCATCAAATCTACATCATGATGAAGTGTGGAAAATATCAACAAACATCAAACTGAATTCTATTTAATCACTAAATACTGTTTATCTTGACTTGATTTGTCACAGCACATTCTTGACAGTTTGATTTCCCTATGTATAGAATAACTTTCATAAATATTTACATCACACTATACACATTCATCATTCTCTCCAGCCAGAGCTTGTGCAATAACAAACAAATATCAGCCAACAACTTTGAAATCAAAGATAACCATACACTTTGGCTCAAATTGGATAAATTAAACGTCTGTATACTATGAACAAAAGGAAGCTATATCTATCAGTTTTAGGCTGCTGTATCCCACATCATTGCAGACACACCTGTACACACGTTTAAATCAGATAACATGAATAACTCCAAAATCATATCTTGGAGAATTGAGAGGTAATAAATTTCATGGCTGAAGAAGACACATCCCAGAAAATATATTCCACATTTTAGAACACATTCTTTACAAAAACCTAGGTTTGAAATCTTTAACATGCATTGTGACATAGAAACATAACGAGAAAAAAAAAAGTGACAGACTCAACCAACATTTTGTGATAATATACAAATATGTATATATATAAACAAAAAGTTATGCAACTCACCAGCCCTCGATTTAGAGAAACGGCACCATCTAACATGCTAGCTTTATAATAGGGGGAGCCATGAGCAGAAAATCTAACATCTGTAATTGGAGGCCTTTCTTGTTTGGGGTACACAGTAAAAATATCTACATTTTCTCTGTCTGTTTCTAACAGTTCAGCTATGACATCTCTGAATTTGTTATATTTACTGGTCACCGTGGAATGACCCTTCCTACTTAAAGTTCTGACAAAGTCTTCAGCCGAGGTACCTGAATGAAACACAAACAGTTTAATAAAAACTTGTTTTAACACATTACCATTTTAAACAGTTGTTATACTATTTTCTTGTTACATTAAGTAATAGGAGTACAGCAAGTTATAAAATGTAAAATTTAATATACATAAAAGATGCAGATGTACGTGTATCAAATTTAAGAATTAAAGTATAAAAATGTTACATTATCATATTAAAACTTTAAAATGTTTGCCTTACATCAGGAGGTAGCTTCTTCCTAAGTTTCAGTGTGTTTGACCGAAAGCATACGAAAGAAGTAAAAGCCACTGTCAATGTCACTGTTCAGGAAATACCCGAAGAAGCAATATATAACTCTGGATCTGTCAGGATCCATGGTAAGAACATCAAGTTATGGTGATTGGTAACCCATAATAGCTAGTTAGTCTGAATGAATTCATCAGCAACTAGGATTAAGTTGTAAAATTATTAACATTTTAAGCTGAGATCTCAGATTATAGGTAATGTACAACGATAAAGTACAAAACATATTCATTTTAAATGTATGTGTTGCGTTGGTATTTTTTTTACAGTATGCTGTTAATCAGTGTACAACTGCATTAAAACATTATAATTTAAAATCACTAAAAGACCATGACATGCACAGTTAGACCCACCTGTTGCGAAAGGGTTAACCAAGGTACCTTTTGTGATTGTTTACTTTACGTGAGTGAAGTTGTGTTATCTATATGAAACATGATGGTAATAATTTTGTACAGCCATGAAATGCTGACATGAGAATAATTGTATTCAGAGCATGGATAGTAATTTTTCTAATAAGCATGTTAATGATTACTAAATACAGTAATTGTTGTTACTGTTTTATTGTATCGTAAAGTTCCAAATGGACAATTTTTAGGTACAACTCCTCCAACACCTGTGGGAAGAGTTCATGTTGAAGATTTGGATGACTGGGACCTTCCTGATAAGATGTTTTCCTGGGAGAATAATGTCCCTCACCCTAACTTTGAACTTGACCAACACTCTGGCATTATAACAATGAAAAATGTTTATTTTCTAAACTTTATTATTACTACATATCAATGAAATTGGCATCAAAACGTTGCTTATATTTCAAATTTTAATATTATGCATGTTTTAATTTCTTAATTCAAAAGAAAATATAAATAAAATAAAGCAAATGTTGATTTGTGTGTGTGTCACACATAGCACCTCCTCCTGTCTTATTGCTCAGTTTATATTTTTATATGCCTACTATATACCTCTACAAGTGGTTAAAAAATTAGAAACATGAATTTTAGATACTGGAAAGCTAGAATATAAATTTACAACCTCCCAACACTTTGATTTGCTGAGAAATCAATGTATCTAGCAAATCAACGAGAGTGGCTCCTCTTCCTACTCCATTCTTTCCAAACTTCTTTAGTTCCACCTACTTTTTTTAAGGGTCTGTTTATAACCAATACAAAGGACAAGTTGTGCTTTACGTTATTCTTGCAGTTGTTTATAAAGAGCTTGGAAAATAAAATAATAATTTTGCCAAAATTGTTGAATGGTGAGGACCAAGTTGTTGCTCTAAATGGAAATAAATTGTTTATAATATATATACTTTATTTATAAACCCAAACACGTAATAGATGTTTTGGGTGTACTAGTAGAGTAATGTATTTTTTTCTTTCTAAAATGTATAATTGAAGCCTACAAAAATTATATTTCTTCACCCACCCAACTCGAAAAAATAAAAAAGGCTTAGCACTAAAAGCACACGAGTGCAAAATATTTTCTGTAATTTCTCGTAAGTACTAGAAATCATTGTTTTCCTATGTAATAAGGCTTGCAAAACTAAATGAGTGTGATAAGTAGTACCAGAACTAAAGTTTTTATTAGTTGACAAGTAAGTGCTGAAAAGGGAAATAGGACTTTATAAGCATGTGCTTAAATAACATCTTTGTACACCTATGCTGCTAAATTCCAAACACCCCAAAAGGATTACCAATATTCAAAGAATTGTAATGTTTATTGTATTGGCACCAAACCACATAATAAATGTTTTGACAGGTTCAAAGTGCAGTGTTTTTATTCTTGAAAAGTCTTGTTGTGAACACTGTAGAATACACACATAAGCCCATAAATTACACATTCTGTTGTCAGCATAAACGTTTTCACTGACTCTAAGTGCAGCATGATTACTCCGAAATTACCAAGAAAACATTTTAGCACATATAACCTGATACATTAGACATCCTTTTCTCAGAGCAGGGGTCGAGTCAACTATTTTTTCGTGCATGCTTTGTTGCTTTCAGTAGTATTGTATTACGGTGGTGTCACGTAAACAGTCTACTGGCACAAGCGGCAATTTATTGATTTATTTTCAGAGGAGTTCTACTTAGATGTTGGCAGTAAAATAAACACATAAAATAAATATAAAATGTTTAGCAGTTCAAACTTGTAAGAGAAGTACTTTGAAACTTCGTGACCAACAATAATGAAAAAAAAGGCACAGCTGCTTCTTTTATTTCTAATTTTTCAACTTCTTTTTTCATTATACTTTCAGGATTTGTCTACAGGCTGAAGACTCAAGTATATCATTAAATAACTGCTAAGATATAGATTTACTAAAAACAGATGTTTGAAATGTATTTACGAAGTTTTAAAGATTACACAAAAGAAATTTAAGATTTTTGGGATGAAGAATAGTATTTTTAGTCATAACATGAAAATTGCTTCCACTCAGACTAGTAACGAAACAAACTCCATATATTCACAAACAAATCTTTAGTAAAAATACTTCATTAAAAAATTTGATTTTTTGTGTACAAAAGACTTGTAATGTTTACTAAACGTATACCAAATTTTGTGAAGATGCACATACTGAACTAAAAGTTATAGTATAAAAACTTAACGTGTGCAACTGTGTAAACGAATTCATATATATTATACCAAACCTATTACGAAAGGGTTAATACCAGATAGATGTGCTGGTATAAAGTTTTAGCAAAAACAATTAGCTATTTTAACACCTACATCTATTTTATACACAGACAAACCTTTGAAATTGTACACAAAAACATCCTTGTGACCAGGAAGCATTAGGTTATCGTTTTCATCTCCAATAATTACAGTCAATGTACTAGTTCCTGTCTTTTGTGGCACCCCACTATCCTTGATCACAATTGGTACGTGGTATTCCTTTTTCTCTTCTCGATCAAATTCCACATGTGCTGTGACTATTGCCATACCATCACCATTTGCTCCCTCTATATGAAGTTGTACGTATATTATTTTTCGTAACTTTGTAAATAATATTAAGTGATTTTATTTAGAAATTTATCCAGACTTTGCGTTATTTGAAAAAGACACTTATAAACTGTAGGGAAAAATTAGACTATTTTCAAATATTTGAAAACTAGTGTTTCGTATTTACAGCTAGACTCACTAATAACACAAACTTTTCATATATCTAACAATATATCATGTTTACGAAATGATTTGCAATATTATTAAAAGCAATTCCTACATACATATGAAAGTTTATTTGTTACTATGACTTTGTTAAACATGAACTGGATAGTTCTAAAATTATAATAAATAATTGAAAACAACGTTTTATACTTACACAATAAAAACTTTATTGAAGCCGTACGGCTTCCACTTTAAAATATCTCTACACGTATATGTTTCGACGTGATCTACGTCATCCTCAGGAGTAACTTACAAGACTATTTTATACTTGTGCATATTTATGAATTGGATAGTTCTAAAATTTAAAAGAATCTACATTATCAATCAGATTACAAATTATATTATTTTTTATGATACTGGTTAATAATGTTTAAATTTTATTGCAAGAAAAAAAACTCATTAAGACAGCAATATATTAGTAGTTTGACATTTTAATGTTACTCCTTGAAGATGTACATGGCCAACCAGCTTATAGCTGTCACTAAAATTAAGATATGTTAAAAAAAATTAGCACTAACCAGGTTGATGTTCAACCTTAAAGAATTCTCGAATAACTTCCGGAGCTTCGGGATCCATACGGAAAGTAAAGGGTGGGCCATTGCCTTTAGAGCGATCATCATCATCAGTAGCTTGGATTTCTTCCACTTTCTGAGGGGGTCTAGTATTTTCCATTATAACTGGACGATAGTCCTTTAGAAAACGAGGAGCATTGTCATTGATGTCACTGACTACAACTGTCAGAGTAGCAGTAGCTGTTAAAGGGGGTTCACCTAAAGAAATAAATTTGTTTTATAATACATTATGCACCATATAAGAATAACTCTTAATTGAAAATTGTGACTGCTTTTGGAAACTACAAAATGTAATAGAAAATTATTTTGTAAAATACCTTAAAAGTACAGCCATAAAATTTATGTACCCAGGTATCTGTTTAAATGTGATTACTGTTACTCCTGTATTTTAGACTTTCAAACAGGGTAATGATATTCTAAGCAAGTCAATCAAGAATTGTTAGTAACAGACATGGAATTACTTTAAAACTATTCTAAGATTGCTACAAGGAAAACAAAAAATAAATTACATCTAAAAAGTGAAAGTAACCAAATCTCTTCCCTTTGATCAGTAATCATAAGGTTTAGAGTGTTACTACTTTTGAATAATGTTATTCTTCATTAGACTTAAATAAATTTATATATTTTCTTAAACACGTTCAATATTAAAACCAACTTACCATCATCAATAGCAAGGATTTTCACTTGATGTCTGGGTGTATCTTCTCGGTCAAGTTTTCTTTGGATACTGACTACACCATCTTTGCCTATTCTAAATTGCCTTCTCTTGTCAGATGATCGATCAATGGTATAGCTGGTGTAGAAAAAAAGTGTACATTTATGAAAATAAAAAAAATGTTGTAGCTGCACAGATTTAGATGAAAGAATTATGATACGAGAACTTATATTTTTATATAACATTAAATTTAACACTTAAATCGTGCTTTCAATAAATTATGACATATTTACTCAAAATTCACATATACAATTATGCCTTATTCCCAAGAAATATTGTTTATAATTATTTACCAGCAGAATGTAACCATTATATATAATTCCCACACTATGGACAGAACGAAATTTCCTAACTTATGCCAAATCTATCCCTGTTCCAACTATATTATCCCTCGACCACTTGATCTATGCTTGTAATGTATCATTGAACTAGTATCTACAATCATCTGTGAACTTGCACGGTTTAATTAGCCTGAGAGGCTGTATGTTAAGAGTCAGAGTTTGCTAAAATGTCATGTTGCAAAATTTCAATACAATTGGTTATGCCATTCTCAAAATTTTTTATATTTTAGAAAAACATATGTAACAAAGGCAATTTATTCATTTGTTTATGATAGTGCACACTGATCATATTTTCTAACTTCAATCACAAAACATTACTACAGCATACACAATACTACACTGATTCATTAAATTACACATTATTAGGTAAACGAGACATTCAGTTATTCACTGTCACAAGTTCAACTGTTTTTATAAAGATTTATTGACAAAAAATAGAATTATAAGAAAACTTTACCTGTGCCATATTATTAGTTGTTCTCAATGATCCATTCTGTATTTCAATATTTTTAACCCGGTTTTTTTCTTCCAATTTTATCTCCAAATTACCATTGTATAATTATTAGTTGTTTTTTTTTTAATTGAATAGATACAAGTACAGTCATTAAATTAAAATAACAGCTCACAAATTTGTTCTCTAACTGTAAGTTAGGCTTTATAGAAATAACCAAATCCCTTAAGTTTTGATACCCTATAAATCTTTTCTACACAAATAGGTTGATGACTCATTAATACATATCAAGGGTATTACATTCCTTCTATGACTATTGACACGGACTGTTTTATTAATGTATGAAAAATTTTGAAGATTTAAATAACTTATTTAATGGAACCAGCCTTTCTCTAAATAGTAACTTGTTAATGGCTTTTAGGCTGTCGTAAAATGATTTTTCATATCCAAGTTTTAGGAAGATGAGATGATGCTCTTAAACCCCATTTATGTAGAAACTTAGGTACTGTTTATGTAATCTATTATGGTTGGCTTTGTAATACATGACACTTAACAGTAAACAAAACAATGTTTAAGCATAAAATACACACATTTATGTGCTACATGTGTCAGACTTAACCTACATGTACTTTTTGTCACTAATAACTTATTTTTTTACCATTCATATCCTAGAAACATTCCTGAATCACACAGTTTACTGACTTTTTTCTTGGTTTTTGTCTGTGAAATGATATGTCCTGTGCTAGGGATATAAAATATAAATTTCACTGCTTTTTCCTAGTGTTCCCTGACCAGTGGAAATCATAATTATATGCCTTCAAAAATATAAAATAAAACTAACCTGACATGAGACCGTCCACCCTGGTCAGCATCAGTAGCAGTAAATGATGCCAATGTGCGACCAACTTCTGCATCCTCAGGTACTGAAACTTCAATATTAGATCTCTCAAATTCTGGTTTATTGTCGTTTATGTCCTTAAGCCTAACTTGAACCTTGGCATAATCTAGGTGGTTGGGTTCAGAGGACTCTCCTCCATGGTCACTCACTTGAATGGTTATATTAAAGCCAAACCTCTGTTGCATGTCTTCATAGTCCAAAGCCTGAAAGCCATTAGGCAAATTACTTCAAATCTCTAATCTTTACTAATACTACAGTTCTATTTAAACTGAAAATTTTCATATTTTATATTATCAATTTTATTTAAGTTTGTAATTCACCAGACTGATAAATTTTAATTGAATAACCACTTTCCACTTTTTCAAATTCTTTTTAAACCTTTCCATATTCAGGCAATTACACAGACAATTAATTTAAAACAACTATTCCAAATCTGTTACCAGGAAAACCAGCTTTTCTACAATGATCAATTACACTAGACTACAATTATATAGAAAAACTACAAAATTGAAACAGTGATTTTGATAGTAGATGAATTATTACACTGATGCATTACATTGTTAAAATATTAGATCATCAAGAAATTGTCGCATAAACACCTAAACAAAAACAGGTACATCATGTATAATAGTTAAACGACCCACTTAAACATCACTGCATATCTCTCGTGAAACAACAGGTAAGCATCTAAGGAGTATGGGAAACTCCTTAAAGAAGGTGTTTGGGTGCTTCACGAACTTTCTGATGATCATCGTTTCCAATGTGTGAACGCTGTTTTATCTGTTATGGCATGTAATGTGCGTGAACCATTTTTGGACAAAATTGTCACTGGTGATGAAAAATGGATTCTATATGCAAATTAGATGCCAAAAGCAATGGCTCAGTCCTAGACAAAAATCACTTCCAACCCCAAAACCTGGACTCATTAATCGGGCATTAACAGCCTGACTGTAGGATGGAAAAGCATCATCAATAAGAATGGAAACTATTTCATTCAGTAAATGTTTTGTTTTGATACACAAGTTGGTTGGGTTTTTTCATCTAAAAAAAAGGGGGGGGCATTAATTACTTGACGACCTAATACTTTAAATATCAAAGTTGAATTTATCTGAAACTTCATACCTTTGCTACTTTTAGTGAGCCTGTGCCATCAGAATTGGTAACCATCGTGAATCTGTCTGAACCAAAAGCATCATCGATCACCTTGTAACTGAAACGATTGGTTTCTAACAAGTCTTTATCATTGACAGAAACTACAAGAATTGGAGTCTCTGGAATATTGTCACCTTCTGTTTCATCAACAGGAACATACCAGTTTTTCTTGGTAAACTCTGGAGGCATATCATTGATGTCCTTTATCTTAATGGTTGCTGTGCCAGTACCTTAGTACAAGTGGGAAAAAAAAACTGTTGTTAATCTTTTATTAACTTTCTGGCAAGAATTAATGAAGTATAAATATCAGCAGTTCAACTGCCGCTTATAAGTTACTTTACCTTATTGTCCAAACAATGCATAGTTAAATTCTGGTATCATGAAATAATAAAACGTATATAAAGTTATAAAATTATATAAGTACTATTTTTTGTACTAGGGTAATCTAGATGATAAAAACATTTTTCACAACTCTGTATTTCCTAACCTTTTAACCCTCCTCCATCTGTAGCAACAACTTTGATAGTGTATTCTGGATTAGTTTCTCTATCTAGACAACACACAGCAGTTGAGATCACACCACTTTCTGGCTCTATGCTAAAAATCAGTTCCCCTTGTTCATTAACTTGGTTTTGTTCAATTGAATAGGTGAGTCTGGCATTGCTTGCCTCTTCAGGGTCATCATAATCTGTGGCTGTCATTGTCATCACTGTCATTCCTAGAAAAAAAAATTAATCCCACAATACAAGAACATCAACATAGCCTACTGCCAACATCTTCAGCAAGCTTTTTCCCTACATAAATAGACTAAATTTGAACACAGCTTCATTCCAAATTTGTAGTGCATACTGAAGGGATTTAAACATTTTGATAAAGAGTTGTGTATATTAACCCTTATGAAGCTGCAAGGGTGGCAGCAAAAAAAGCCAATTTACCATTCTAAAATCAAGAATCATAAATAAATAACTACAAGAGTAAATTTCAGAAGAGATAAAACTTATCTTTATTTCAATTAATGGAAACAGCTGCTTGGTTTGCAAAATATTCTTACTATGACAAAGTAATGCAAAAAGTAAAATAAAAATTAAAGCACTAAAACCATATGATGAATAGTGCAAAGTGCACCAAAATGATAAATGCATTTAAATAAGTTAGGTAACTAATCATATTAAGGATGAAATTAAGGGAAAAAATAAGAGTAACTCTAATCAAACCAATAGGTACCTCCACTTCTGAAACTGTTTATATAAAATTGATTTGCACAGCCTAAAATCTTCACAACCACATGATTATTTTTTTAAGTAAACAACAATTTCTGTTTTATGATAAACCTACTATATGCCAATAGAAGAAACTTTCGGTAAGATTTTGAAGGATTAATAAAAGAACAACGTGTATAACCAATTATCAGAAAATCAATATAGGAGTGACCAATACAGATAGCAAAAAAATTACCAGCAGTTCCATTTTCTGTTACATTGCCAGTATAGATAGCATTAGGGAAAAATGGAGGGTTGTCATTCACATCTTTTAGGTTGACAAGAACGTCAGCATAGCCCACCAGCCCATTGCCACCTTCATCTTCGGCAAACACCGTGAAACGCCACTGGGACCGGCCATCAGGCAAGTCTCGGTCTAAAGGTTTCAACACATAAATTTCTCCAGTAGTTGAATTTATAGCAAACTTGCTATTAGAAGGCTCATCATCATCAATTCCTTGGCCAGTCAGGAAATAAACAATGTCAGGACGGCGATCTCTATCCCCATCTGTGGCCGTGACCTAGAGAGATTGCCAAGCAAAAAATATAAATGTTATAGTAATATCCATTTCTAGAAGATTGCCAAGTGATGAGTTATTCTGGGTATAGCACTTTGGCTAAAAAAATATAATCTTTTAATTTATCATAAATATAAAACATTTTAACTGCAATAATATTTCTAATAATTCTTTGTTTTCTTAAACAAGAGTAATTACAAAAACACATAGTACCTTTATTTACAGTGCAATAAACTTTCTAAAATATATTGAATTTTCAAACATTTATGAGTATTTCAAAAAGTTATACACTGAACTATACCAAATGTAATGAAAACAAAATTTCATTCCTATAAATTTTACAATAAAAAATAAATAAAAACTCAACTCATTGAATAAATCATGCATAAAATAATAATATTTGTAATTACAAAAAAATTAAATTTCATTGCCATTATGTATGATGAAAAAATTACAAGGATGGAATGTATAATACTAGGATGATGAGAAATTAGATTTTTTTTGTGAAATCAGAATGAAATTTCTTATCTTGGTCTTACAGTACTCCGAAAGAAATGTTTATTGCCAATAAACGTTAATTATATTCAGAACTGATCCTTTAACATATATTTTTAGTTCTACTTAATACCAGAATCAGCAAATATTTCATCCTATATTACAAACTCTGTTTTGAAATTTAGCATCATAAAAGTCTACCTTGAGGATTTTCTTAGGTAAGTCATGATCCTGCTCTTCCAGTATTGTGGTCTCATAAGAAGATCGTTCAAACACTGGAGGCAAGTCATTGATGTCTTTAATCCGAATAATAACTGTGGTACTGTTTTCACGTAAGGTGTCTGAAGCCACCAGGGTGAGATTGTACTACATGAAAAAATAAACCATGCAAACCACGAGCCAAATAAAAATAAAAATCTAAACAAGAAAGATAAAAAAAAAAATCACGACATGCTTTATATGTTGTACGGACTCAGTCGCACAAACTAAAAAAAACAACAAAAAAACAAACAAAACGGAAATTTATGTGAATCAAAAGAACAAAAAAGAAATCGTTTCCATCGAGACGGGCTGCATCAGAATGTATCTTGCAGTACGAGAACGAAAAATGGTACAATAAAAAATACACCAATTTATAAATGTTTGTAGGTTGACCTGTAGCACACGCTTGGGAAGGTTTCTGTCATCTTCTTCTGTGATTTGAGTCTCATATGTGGGGCGGTCAAACACTGGCGGGTTATCGTTCACGTCCTTGACGTAGATAACAACCGTCGTGTGGTTCTCGTTTAGATTATCAGATGCAACCAATCGCAGCTCGTACTACAGAATAAAACGTTACCATTGCATGAAAAACAAACCGAGTTTGAGAACTGTCACAAATAAACCCATATACAGTGTTCTCAAACACAAATTCACGACTCATTTCTAATAAAACAAGTTTAGAAATGCATAGTAACATGGTGTAAATAACAATCACCATTATTTACCTTCCTTATAATATAGCGGTGATGCTTCTTCTTGGAATACAAAAATCATCTGTGTAAGCTTGTAAATATCTTTGTGAACTTATTCACAACTTTTTCTGTTTGTTTTTAAACTCGCTTTCAGCCTCATTATAAGAACCTTCGAAAGACGACTTGTTATGCAAATTTATTTATTTTATTACACGAAAGGTCACATGGTGAAACTTTATTTCGGTGCTTTTCGAACCATTCTCCGAAATAAATGTTCTTACGCCGCACTACAATAACGATTTAAAGATTACATCTTAAAAAATACAATAAAATAAACGAGTTTTTTCTCCCTCTAAAATACCGTAAAACCAATTTCACGTTTTGTATCTGAAAGTAATGGTTAAGATAAAACTTCGACCACCATTTTGTTTTACAAAGGTGCACTTGCATGTTCATTTTGTGTCATTAATTCGTAGGAATTCTCGTGTTATTAGGGAGACTTTCATTACACTACTTTTGTAGAAAATCACAAACATTATTTGCACATAAAAAAGTACAATATTCCTTTATATATATTTTTTTTAATTTCGGTGTCATTCATAGTGACTAGAGAACGACTGTTTATCAAACAATTGTTGTTTGTTATTACGCACAAAGCTACACAAAGGGCTATATGTGCTCTGGCCATCACGGATATCGAAACCCGGTTTCTAGCAGTATAAGTCCGCAGACATACCGCTGTACCACTTGGGGGCGTATATCGAACATAAAATGATGAATATCATAAATTTATAACCGATAACCTACTAGCTGAAGTAATTATTTACAGTAAAGGTTGTAAAATAAAAACAATAAAATTATCTATCTTCGGCTTGAAATTTAAAATATCAACGACAAAAACATCATCGTTAAACGGCGATTGAGCTAAAAATAGTCTTACCAACTAACTATCACGCAAGGCCAAGTAGTAGTAAGTATTTCCCAAGTTACATTTTATTTTCGCTATAATACCTGTATTGAATATTTAACTGCTTAATTAATATCTCACGACGTTTTAAGTACATGCGGTTATTAATTTTCACAAGTGTTTTTTTTCTGCACACAGTTTCTAACAAAACCCTTAATTTCACTACCCATCAACATAATTACATCTGAATAAAATACAACGTCCAAATTAAAACAGGCAAGTAGAGTTAAAGTTGAGTTCAAATGCACAGAAAAATACATTTTCAATCTCTGCCATTATCAAAATTACCAGATGGTTCTTTTCACATTGTATCAATTCCTAATGTTTTTTGAAAAAAAAGAAAGAAAAACCTCATATGGTTAATCACCACTGTATGACGGACGCCATTAGGACTCTTTAATCACTGTAATCCTTCAGCACTACATAAAAGATTCTCCCTTCTATCGAGATCTTTCGTACTACGGAAATATTGAACTCTTGCTAATGAGAAGCAAATTGAAACAAAATCCTCGGTACATCGTTAACAAGTGAAACGACCTGTATTTAAACTTCAAATATGGGTTTCAATAAACCCTACATATAAATACTTATTTCTAGTTTTTAAACAACTAACAGAACATAGTCTATATACGATTCGAAACACTTGTAAAAATTGAAGAGTTGAATCCAGATAATTCTTTTCTTTAAATATTTATTTAAGTTGTTAACAGAGAAGTATAATTCTATAAGACAATAGTTCTAAGCTTCAAAACAAAAAATATTTTGATTAAACATAAAATAATGACAATCCATAATCTTCTAAAACATTCGTTACTTTACACAGTTCAATGCGTACGTTTTTAAAGTATAACTGAACAACATGTTAACAAGTTTAATTATCAATTTCCTAAATGCTATTTTTGTGTGGTTAAGCATTATTGATTTACGAATGAAAATATCTTGATTTAAAGTAAATAAAAAGAAAAGTTAAGTGATTTTCTAATTTTTTATAATAATAACACATGTTGTAATTACACAAAATAAAGCAAAATATCTACATTCCAAGTAAGAAAACTCGTTATCTCTAACTGATGCTAGCTTGTAGATTTGTTAAAAAAACTTAATGGAGTTTCTATGTAATAGCCTCATAAATATATTCTTAATTATCAAGTATTCCAACATAAACATAACAAGATTGTTAATAATATTGTAAAAATAAAATTCTCCAAATATTTATAGCCCATACCGATACTTTCGAACAAACATTCAAAGTCCTTCATTTGACAACCTGGTGAGTTAATGACTTACCTTGTTGCGGGTTTCATAATCTAGAGGGCCAGCCACGTAGATGGCTCCCGTTTCGTTCTTTACAGCGAAAGCTCCTCCTATGTTTCCTTGGGTTATTTCATACCTTATTCTTGAAGCTACAATTTGAAATCAAATATGAATTGACTATATTATGTTGGTTTTAAAAATGGTTTTGTAATAAAGTTATATTTTCATATTTTCATATTCTTAATATACGTATACACGCAGATTCACAATTCGTGTGATCAGGTAATCCATTATATATATTTAAACTAATTGAAAATTAAACATTAAATATCAGTAAAATATCTGGTCTTTAATTACAACCAATACGATTCTGTTTATTCATCCACAGCTATTTGTTTGGTTATTTTATCAAGTCTATTCATTCCATCCAACAATTAGTTCAGAGTATTTTCAATTATGATTTAACCTGTCGCAGTAACGCATATTTCGGTCGTCACAATTTTATATCTAGAGATTAAGAACAAAACTGTATCTGAACTAAAAACCCATATTTCAGTTAAACTTAATTACAATCTAAAATAATTACTGTCCTAGCCCAGACAACTTAATTTGTATGACATGATCGTACTTTTTCACCTTTTAAATTAAAAAATAAATGTATGACGTTTCCCTTTTCGTGGATTGAAACGTACCTTAAAAAATACAAATCTGTGGTAATAGTTAGTACTTTCATAACATCTTAAAACAATTTACGTGCACAAACTTCAAATTTTTGTACACTAATATGTTTGTCTTCCTTTTGTAATATAAAACAAACTTGAAGTCTCTCTCAAATTCTAGGTCAGAGCTTGAAGTATTCACTTTTAAAGGTTTGTTCAACAATCATTCAGAGTTAAAATAAGAGAACACCAACACTAAAGCAATTCCACCTAGTTGAAAGAAGTTGAGGTAGTGTACGCTGACCAAGTTGCCAGAAAGTCAAAACATTCAGAACCTATCAATGGTATATTTATTTATACAGCTATGCTGTGTTATTATACCACTAGGGGTTAAAAGTTTCGACACATATTATAAGACACACAAGTCACGAGAAAAAACAAGATATAATTAAGATTCTTGGTTATATTTGATTATACGTAAAAACTAGCGAACCTGTAAATGTGGGCCTGAGGCCCACAGGTTCGCTATAATATAAACTTAATTTCTTTAACCTAGATACGGATGATGATTAGTATGTCTACTTATTTACGTGCTCTAATGTAAATCAATGCCACATATGGGGTCCGTTTTCGGAGAATTTCCCGTAAAAGTGTTTTTGCGAAATACCCGGGTTCTCTAAGGGGTTGGGTGAAAAGTTGTACCCTTGTGCAAACATCAGGGCCGATATAATGCAAACTTAATGCATGAAGTACTAAGGGTTGGATGAAAAGTTTTACCTTTGCGTGAATCTCGAGGCCAAGACGATTCGATTTGCACAATGTAGCGAACCCGTGGGCCCGTAACCCACATTTACATGGTTTGTATAATGCAAATTTAACGCTTGACCTATTATATTTACGTGCTCTAACATAAGTCAATGCCAAATTTGGGGTAAGCTTTCGGTATACCTCGGGGGGGTATTTTACCTTTGTGCAAACCTCGATGAATCACACTCATTTTACTTTGAAAATGTGGTTAGCTTGGAGTAAGAAATCAAATCACTTATTTGGAGAAACTTTGATCAGTCTGGCATTTTTAACATTATATTTCGCGCTTTTCAATGATACGAGTTTTGTTTCGTTCCGTAAAACCGTAGCTTGGAACAAAAGCTAAACTAGTTTAAATTAAAAATGTACGTTCATTCGGCAAATATGGACTTACGATTCTACCTGTACTATCCTTTTGGCCTTGTATTCTTGATATAGAAATGTAACATAAAGAATTCAAAAGACAACATATCTGTAGAAAACTACAATTGAATTTGTCAAGAGTCATTTGGATATGTGATACCATGACTGATTTAATGTGTACGAAGAAAAATAAATAGGCGCTTATGCTTTGGCCAGAAATAACTTTGTTTGAAGAATAACGATTTACAAGTTTTTTTTCAGCATGTACAAGAAATGTACAACAATCTTCACGTCTTGAGCATATAAAATACAGATACAAAAAACTATATCAGGAGAAGCATAATTTCAGTGGGTTGACAAATGCACGAGGAAGAAACCTCTACATCACAAAACTGTGGAAGTTACACTGATTAGAAACTAAGCTTCGCATGAGCTACAATTTAGCATTACTCTGAAGCAACCAACAACAGTGTTTTTTAAGGTCTGACGCTACACTTGGAAATACATGTTAGAGCACAGTACATTCAAGTCGTGCGTGGAAAGTTTAACCTCCAATTTACGATGTGCGAGTACGTGACGTTAGGTTTTTAACGATAAAATAACTCTAAAAATACGGTTTGATTGAATCCAAACTATATACTAAATGTACTCCCACAGGGTCCCCGAATGTATTCTGTTTCAAGAGTAAGTAAAACCAAAGTTAAGAGTAACAAATATTTATATTTCTTGCTATTGTTTGTTTTAAGTTAAGCACAAAGCTACAGAGTAGGCTATCTGTTCTCTGCTCATCACGGGTATCGAAACCCGGTTTCTAGCGTTGTAAGTCCGCAGACATACCGCTGTGTCACTGGAGGGCTTCGCAGGGCGAAACAATAACCCCACTTCTTTGGAAAAACAGTGAAAGACTGAGTTAGGGATAATGTTGAATCTCCACACAATTCAAAAAATAAAATAAATAATAAGTAGAAGAAGACCAACGGTTCAGAGTAGGTATCCAGGCAATATTAGAAAAGATAAATAAATTTTGAAATTGATTTCGAAATGAGATGGGACCACTTTAAGGTGTTTTGTTTACACACGTTAGTCTCTGCTCCGGGCTAGAAGAGAGAAAAAAAGTGTTTTCAGCGCTGTATTCGCTGTGTAGAGGTCGTTTCCGTGGTGAAACCCTCATTATGCCACATGGTAATTTTAGATACCTAATGCGCATGTACTGCTAGATACAAACACACATACTCCTTGGATAGTAACTTTCACAGGAAGGTTCAATGGTATTTAATACTTTAATTGATTGTGCCCAATACTGTTTTAATGACCTCGAAGCATTTCAGAAAGGGTGAAATTATCGATAAAATGTAGTTATGATGTGCCAAATTATATTCACATGACTATCACTCAGAAGTCACTGCTATAAAAAAAAGTCATATAATTCATAAAACTTTAAAGGGACAAAAAAAAGGAACTTATTAGCCCATTAAAGATGTCCCTTCCAGCTCCAAACTACCCCTTACTACTCATGTATTCATCTAATTGTTTCTTGAACTGAACTTGGT